TGAAACAGCTCATCTTCCAGGTCAGAAATTCTCTCTTCTGCTTGTTCTAGCCTGCTGGTTAAAATCTCTGGTGTGTTTTTTATTTTGTTGAATGAATTCTTCAGCTCCACAAGCTCTGCTACATTCTTTTTCAGGGCATTAATTTCTTTGTACATTTCTTCTTTCAGTACCTGTATACTTTTTCTCATTTCATTGTGTTATCTCACTGAGTTTTCTTGTATCTCATTTAGTTTTCTTAGAATTGTTGCTCTAAATTCCTTGTCATCATTTCAAGGACTTCCTGTTCTATAGGATCTAGAGCTTGAGAATTATTATTACTCTTTGGTGGGGTTGTACTTACTCGATTTTTCGTATTTCTGGTATCTTTCCTTTGGTGCTTAGTCATTGTGGCAGGGGATTTCACAGTCCACTCATTTGACCCTAGTATCTCCCTGGGATCCTGCAGGGACTGCCAATGTGGCACAGCTGCCTCGGTGCCTGTGGGTGGAAGGCTCAGGCCTCCCTAGGCCGTGGGCCCTGGCTTGGGCTGGGGGGAGTCATGCAGCGGCACCTACCTGTTCAGGAGACGGTGCCTCAGGGCACGCGGTGGTCCCGGCAGCTCTCAGGCATCTCTGGGGTCCTACCCGGATGGCATGCACTGGTTTTGGTTGGGGGGATCACGTGGTGGTGCTTACCTGCTCAGTCCAGGTGCCTCAGGGTGCACGTGGTCCCTACGGCTCTCGGGCGTCTCTGAGGCCTCCCTGTGTGGGCCTGTGGCCTGGGCTGTGGGGCTCCTGCCGCAGCACCTATCTGCTCCTGCATGGGTGTCTGGGGTGTACAGTGGTCCTGGCAGCTCTCGGGCAGCTCTGGGGCCTCACTGGATGGTGTGCACTGGCCTGGACTGGGGAGGTCCCATGGCGGCGCCTACCTTGTCTGGCACAAGTGCCTTGGGTCACATGGTCGTCCCAACGACTCTGGGCATCTCTCCTATTTCTGGGCTTTCTATCCCATCCCATTGATCTATTTGTCCATTCTTTTGGCAATACCATGCTTTCTGGATTACTGTGGCTTTTTTTTTTTTTTTTTTTTTTTTTTTTTTT